ATATGAAAGTGCTCTTGTTTTAAGTGAAATCTGAAAGTAAGAATACAAATAGATACAATCACATATCACGCAAAAGCTGACGAAAAAACCAAGTAAATCAATGCGTGGTCTTTTTTCAAACAAGCCTGATATTTTCTATATATATGTAAAATGATATAGGTTAGACAAATATTGACACAAGACAACATAATAATCCCGCCCTTTTTCTTCTCTAGTCCATCTTTCAAGCTGTTTCAAACATCGAGTGCTGTTAACGCTCCTTCATTCATTTACTGTTCTGACACGATGATACTACTTAACAAAAGTGATTAGTATACGTTTACTTCAAAATGTAATAAGAACAAGATGGTCAATTAAAGCGCATGGTAAACTAAGCTGCTTCCTTTTCTAATCCCCAGTGACAGTAAAAGATGTGACTTAGAGTAGTATGAAAATACTCAATCGTGAATGATTTCATCAGGTAATCTTCTACCAGCTGTAGAAAAATTTTCTCTTACGTAGTATATATGTTATTTTTATTCGAAGTGCATATATATATATATATCGGCGTTCACAAGCGTGACGCGATGACGTTTTGTCCACAGTTTCTTCAGTTTCTTTTAGAAACTAGATCACTTAGAAATTTGATTCTTTTATTAAATGATACGTCTCTCTACTCTGTCACAATTCCTGAAAACCCGAGCTCGTTTGGCTTAGTCGTTTGAAAATTCTGGCAAAAACACTGAGCAAAACGCGATGATGAAAATTGGACAAAAAGTTGAGGGTGACGTGTTTGTTCGTTGTTTTTTTCTGAATGCGCACTACGATGGAAAAAGCGATTTATAAGAACTTTGTAGCCAACACTATGGGGTATCCGGAGAAAAAATAAAATTGTTCAAAAAGATCATTTACTGGCTTGTTATTTCGGTTTAATTAACATAACGCGATGACGAAAATCAGTAAAATGCGCTCTCTTTTTTCCTATCGAAATCTTATTGATGATTGACAAATGTGAGCAGAACCACCTTTTCTTAGAACAAAGAAGAGATTTCGCATACTTNATATATATGTATACAGAGAGAGAGAGAATGTCCCAAAAGTAACTTTATACTTTACATTGCACACATTTGTCACATTTTGAAATTTTTTCTCATTATTTAGTATTTTATAAATCATTACCGATCGTCAAGAGGGGTCTTCTGGACACCCAATAGCTAGTATATAATGATTTATAAATTATAACTAATAAATAATGATATATAAAGTGTAAAGTGACTTTTGGGACACCTTATATATATATATTGCTCGAGCATCTGTCAGTATCTCTAACTAATCTGATAGGTAATGTGATGGGCGTAATGTTCTAGTGCTCGAAATATGCGCCATTTACATCGATACATCGCAATAAGCTATGAAAAATGAGCCCAAAAAGCGTAAAGTATGTGATGAGCGTTTATAACTTTTAAAGAATATTGCATTAATAATACGAAAATAATATTTGATGCGAAAGTCTTGGCAAAAATATCAACCAATGTTACAACATACTGCCAGCTTCTAAAGCAATTAAATTCTTTTTTGTTAGAAAGAGCAAAGTCTGAACTACAAATTTTGTACCAGACTTGTTTTTTCCAAACGAATCTACAGAGCAAGAGAAGCTAAAAGTTAAACACGTCGAAAAAAGTTCTTGCAACTTCACATTCTCACAATATCATTTTCTATTTTCTTTTCATTTTTTTTTAATTAAAATCACAAAGAAAATTCATATTTAATGATAATTTTTGTAGTATAAAGAGTGCTCTTTCCAATGATGTATTCGATAGTAAATTTAGTCTTGATTTCTTTAGAAAAATATACCTCTTTATGGATGACACTATAATTTGGTCTTTCTGACTACCTAACCATTTTGTAACAATAAAAGAAGTTTTTTGAATTCTTTTTTTTTCTAAGTTTGTAGGATCTGACGTATTTCAAACAAATAACATACAAAGATTTCACTTTACAAAAAGCTTCTGAAGATTGCGCCTGATCTCCTTCTAAATGGATAGTTCTTGCAAAAGACTCTATTCGACAAAAATTTCAATTATGTATTTCTTTAATTCAAGAGTCAAGAGCTAATCTTAAAAAAAACTACCAAAGCTGTTATCGATAGAAATTTAGATGTGCTCAATTTGCTGTATTTTTGTGTTAGAATTTGATCCATGCAGCTCAATGTAATTGAGAAATAGAACGTTTTCAAGTTGCGAAAAAGTTGCAAGAACTTTTTCAGAGATGTTTAGCTTATAGGTTCTCTTGTTTTGCAGATTCATTCCGGAAAAATCAGTCTGATGAAAAATTTTTAGTTCAGATCTTGTTCTTTCCAACAAAAAAATGATTGTTTAAGGGCCCCCTCAAAAACAAACTTTTTTTATTTTTTCATAAAATTCAACCAAAATTTCAGAGAATGTTAGTCTTGGCTAGAGTAGATTATGATTAAAATATCTACTCAAATCTCCGAGATATTCACAAGTTATAGTCAATTTATTGGTTAAAAGTACTCTGTACGCAGCCAAGGTTTTCACAATCAGGATACGAGCTAACATGCCGGGGCGATTTTTAAGTTGTACAGTACCGTTATCGCTAGGTCCTCACACAGCCCAATTTTTGAAATTCCTTTTGTTTTTTTCAAATCCTTTCCGAAAACTTCTCGAATTCGTGGTCATAAAAATCGCTGATAAAAATGAAATATGTAAGTTTTTTATTTTCCCAATAGAGAAATTTAAAACTCGAGCTCTGTGATGACCTAGCCTTAATTGTCCTCTATACAAAAAACAAATGATCACTTCTAAATTGAGTTGTTCTTGAGTAAGGTTTGCCCGCACAAATAGTATACTCGAAGAAACGGATTTTAAGAAAAACGGAACATAAATTTTTAAAAACCCTATTTTTTCAATATGGAGGTTCAGAAAAACTTCTGCAATATCCTTAAAGTTCATCATAAAATCAATTAACTATAGTGCATTCGAGAGTAGGCATTTTGCTCTATCTAACGAGCTATAAATCACAAAATTGATAAATTCGACAACAATTGACTTTATCTGAGGGGGGGCACCTCGAGAAGCTGTTAATATAGGGTGATATTTTTGCCAAGACATTTGCATCGCATGCTAATTTTTGTAAGTCTAAAGCAAACTTTTTGAAGCTCAAATCAATATGGGCTTAGTACTTTTGACGCCAATTGGGTATTAGGTGACAAAATGTGTCAGTATTTCTCTTTGATATGCAGCATCACATTTTATCGAAGGATTACTTTGGCATTAGTGATATTAATCGTTGTGTAAAGAGTCTACAGACGTTTGAAAGAGCATATTGTTAAAATGGGGAAGTACCGTGCATAGTTGTACACCAGCATAGATAGATACAAATAAATCATTTTAGCTAAACTTCATCTAGAAACAAGATGAAAGTAACCACAACTTTAGTTTGGTGAGGATAAGAAAGAATTAGGTAACCAATTAGTTTTGGTGATACTTCATTCAGTAGTATGTATATTATGAGTTTACTTTGAATCAAAAAGACCTATGGAAAGTGCATTGCAGTAAACTATGCTCGAAGTCTTGTGCCCCCAACAAATGGTTAGAAAATGACAGGAAGAGCGGACCATTCTTGATATTTATTTCAACGTATTCTAATAATCAAATAGTCCTTGGACAGCAAGCTAATATTTTTCATTTATCTTACTAGATACTATGTTGATGGTTATTAGAGTCCGTTGAGTGAGTCTCAGATCCAATGGAGTCGGAAAAGTTTGTACCCAACCGATTCTACTAGTATGCATACAATGTGGATTGTATTGATCGCCGAATGCAAATAATCGGAGAAAGCATTGTATATCACTGAAATAATCATGATGTTTAGTTTTAAAAATTTATTTCTGAAAGTTAAGAGTACAGTTCGAGTTCGGGAACGAAAATTTTAGACTCGATGAATTCAACTGATGATCCAACAGAGAATAGCACTTCTTAAAGTACACAAAGCAACAAATAAATAAATAAAAGTATCTCCGACATTTAAGATTCTGAAAACTATGCTGCAAATTGATGCAGATTGACACGAGATCTTGTGACACTCGATCCGATCGGAAAACATAAATGATACGTGAAGTACAAGCTATCATTGAAAAATAAACACAGTTTATATGCAACGAAGAAAAGCGTCAATATTCTTACGAATAAGTGACTTCAATGAGAATATAAATGAACTGCACAAGAAAATTCAGAATACATAAAAGATGATCCTCGAAATCAATGTATGTTCTTTCAAAGATATTAGATTGCGATAGTATATAATAATAAGAGTAGATAAGTCAAGCTTTTATTTTTCAGATATATAGTTATTGAATCGCGGTACTAGACATTTGTACAATCAGCCATCTTAGATCTGACTCTATCAACAGGTCGTTCGATTTCGTTATGCACAACAGGTGTAGATCGCCTTTACGCAAGTCACACTGAAAAGTCGATTGAGTATTTATATGCATGTTGAAAATAACTCATAAGGAAAATATGCATTATTTTAAATCGATATTGGCTAATACCAAATATCAAATCAATTTACCTCATAAACAAAAATCCTACAATTTGAAAACAACGCAAAAGGTCTCTGTTCAATGCAAACTCCGTCTGAACGATGATATTTGTTTAACAGAATCAGAAAACGAGATGATCCAACGGTATCAAGAAAGACATAGTTTCCCTCTTGACCCAGATACGGCTCAGAACACAGCGATCGATCTACGTGATGATGGTTCTCCTTTCATAACGGATTGGTTTTTATCCTTCACTAATGGCGAATTAAAGTTGACATTTGATCGTATCTTCAATTCCTTGATCGATGGTATACGAAAAGAAGGTCAACTAAATTTGAAAAAAGGTCAACTAAGTTCTGAAAAAGCTCTGTTAAAGTTCGAACAATGTTTAACTGAGATGATTAACTTTCTCTTTGAAATAAGAAACGAAAACCCCAAAACGTCTGAAAGTAAACGCATGAAAAGACTTCAAGAAGCTTGTGTTAAACTGTACACGAAGACAAGTTTTCTTTTCTATGTTGTCAATCGAGCATTACGAGAGAATGATCGTAGTAAACTGGCTTCACTTGGTCCTTACTGTTATCTTGTTTATACCTATATCGGAAGCCAAATAACTGAATATGCCTCAATCCGACATCATATTCGTCGACAAATTAATACAACAGAATCATCATCTATAGTTGTCTATCGTGGTGATAGGGCAACAAATGAAAAAATAAACGAATATTGTCAAGCGGCTGGACAAAAAGACAAGTACTTCAAATGGTTGTCGTTTGTATCAACTTCACTTGATGAAAATGTGGCCAAAACATATGCTCGTAATATCTTGTATGAAATAGAGTTACGTCGCCACTCGTCAAACGATCAATTTGTCTATTTGGAAAAAATATCGTATTATACAGATGAAAGAGAAGTTCTTTTACGACCAGGTGTTCGTTTCCGTGTGAACCGAGTAGACCAAATGGAGTCTGACAAGAAAATAAATCGCGCAAAGATTTATATAACTATTGTTCCATCATATGTATCGAATTTGATATAAATATTGCTTTTATTTTTAGCTTTATCCTGTAGATCATAAAATCAGATTGAATTCGTTAATTGATGAACTTGGTGAACGACGAAGCTCGTATACTAATGAAAATCATTCCGAAAAATGCATTTAGTATTCATGACATGATTGTTCTACATGCTTGAAGCATTACATTCGCAGCGACTGTGGAATAAAACTGTCTGAGCGGGGGTGTGACTGATTGTAGATGTAGATAAGAGTGTGACTGTGAGTGTAACAGTTGGAGGATGTATTGATTTTAGCACACTTCCACAGTCACATCAATAACCTTTTTTTGAATATTTTCCGTTTCTGATGGTTTTCAGTCATTTTTGTACTGGATGTTAGTATGCTTCTTTTTAGGTCGAAATCAAAAATTGATAGTTTTTGAACAGAATATTATAAATTTCTCGACTTGCTCGTACCAGCGTAACTATAGATTTTGTGAATCTCGAGTACTTCCAAAAAAAAACCCGTTTATATGAACTCGAAATGCATTGGGTAGAAGCGAAATTAGCAGCTTCATCCGATGGAAAAGAATGAAGATTACATACTTTTATCATTTTCAAGTAGCAGATACGAATCCCGTCTACATGTCAAACCTAATGACTGAAATTCGGTACAGGCTAAATCCACCAAAAAGTCGTCAAATAATGAGCCTATATAGTCATATAGGCATTTCGTTACACTCAGTTAAATACCTCAACTTTATCTGAATAAAAAAATTGTTGGTGTCGCTCTTCTTCACCAATTAATAGTATTTTCGTAATATTGTGATCGATAATTGTCTATTGGCTACAGAATTCACAATAAGCTGATCGAAACGCAATTTTTTTTTTGATTGAGTTAATCTGGATTCACTCTTTTCTGGGAATCTGACGAGTGCGAGAGAGAGAATGTGCTCAGATCGTGACTATGCAGCTGTGGAGAACGAATGAGTGTTGTTAGATGGACGATGTAATTAATAATGTGACAACAGCCGTATCATTAATAGACTTAGCGTTGTCGATCTGTGGATATTATGCTCAATTCCACATTCACATTTATAGGCAGTACAGAGTCTTGCACTCGGCACCTAAATCTTCATCTTCAAGCAATTTTCAGTTGTATATCCTCTATAGGGTGCTCTCAAAACGGATAATCACGAGTTTACATTAGTTTATTGATTGAGAATACTTTTCATTGCAACTTTTGCTTGTCACTCTGTGTAGCCACGTGTTGAAAAATTTGCTTCATCAATATCATTGAAAGTACCATAGTGTCAATAACAACACCTGCTGATTCAATATCATATTCCAACAATATTGACTTTTCGTTTTATCATGCAACTTGAAAAAGAACTACTGCTGACAGTCAATAAAGCACGCTATTCTGCGATGGCTTATCGAACTTGTTCTGAGCAAATAGAAGCAACTAAACAAATTTCTTGCCTAAAAATACATGTACGTTACCTTTTCGCGGAAAAAAGTCAAGTGAAAGTACCCGCATCAATCTACTTTGTGATCGAAAACGAATGTTTCATATTACATTCTGCAGATTTTTTCCACGGCTCTTTCGTATACAATGAAGCAAATGCAGAATCGCAGTGCGATGTACTCGAGCTTGACAATATATAATCGTAAATTAGCCTAAAACCAATGTCTTCAACATACATACCAGTTACTCTCATTGCCTAATATTATCGAACAAAAAATTTCAAAGCCAAAATCATATATGGATTTCGTTTTGCAAGGGTGGAGTGTAGACGACTGAAAGTCTACAGATATTATAAAACTTGTTGAAGATAACTAAATTTCAAATCAAGACAATTTGTTGTTTCGATTCTTCTCGAAATAGTCTCTGATTCAATGACATTTTTTTATAATAGTGTCTCATATTCTATCTCTATTGCATTTATTCACTATTTTTAATCAGCTTTGTATTTCAAGAGAAACATATAGAAAACTGTCTAATTAATTATTTGTCATGCTTTCATATACTCTTTGTTTCCATGTGCATGGTTTTGATCTTCAATATGCTAAAGCTTCCGTGGTTGTTGCTCGGCATTGATTTGACATCATGATATTGAATGAAGCCGGCCGGTTAGGCTTATCAACTTACAGACACCTCATTCCCTAATCACTAACTCTTCTACTATATCGAAAAGAATGTACATGATAACATTCTAATGTCATGAGTAAATTACTTTTTTGCTTAACATTTTCTTAAAATTGATTTATACCTTAAAAAATCAATTCGAATGATTGGAAAGTGTGCTACAGCATGTAAATCCTGGAAAAGGTTACAATATATCATGACTCACTGCACCATTATGAATTATGTTAGTGTTGGTTTAAAAAAAGATAGATATATAACAGATAGGTTACTCAAATGTGTGCATATGTAGTGTCTAGTTCCGAATATTTGAAGCTGATATCCCAATTGGTATTAAGTCTCTATTTTTTTATATTAGCATCTGAAGGAAAAGGAAACCAGGAAGGTTATGAAACGATATGAACGGTCATTTTTCTTTTTCTAACATGTATACTCGATTTCGGAGAAAAAAACGAGTTGCAGTTGTTATCTCGAGAAACATATATATTTCATTACATACTTATTACTATTCACAGTTTTATGCAGGTTTTATTTTACGATTAAAAAAGCTCGATTGATCGTCGACATTGTTCCGGAACAAAATGAAAAGATATCTTCGACTGTATGTTAATGCAATAAATGACCCACAGAAAATAGCAAGTACATGTGCAGCCAACTTAGTGCATTTATTAACAGTATTGAATGTGGTATGTTCACATCGATATATTGATTCACCTGCTTTTGAATAGAATAATGTTTACTCTTTATCACTGGTAGTATATCAAGAAGTAATAAGAATACTTCGAATAAGGAAAATAAAACAGTTTTAGGATATTGAGAATCCTTTTTTTCCATATGTTCAATCAAATCTCTAACAAGTTGTTGGCATCTTTTCCTCTATCAAAAGTGCCATATGTCCACCCGATCAGACAAGACTAACCTCGCCGCTCGACAAGTTTCTGGAAGTGCATGGAAATTCTACAGACATTTTGTAACTGAGCTCGAGCGTCGCTAAGTAATAGCCAAGCTATTATAGAAATATCGACGGAAAGATCGAGATGAATTATAATTACAGGTAGAGAACCCATAGTTCTAGTTTGGCATCGGCCATCTTGTCACTTACTACATTGGTGTCATGATTTTCTCTCAATACTCTACAAAAATAATTCATTTCTTTTATAAATATCTTCGTGGTATCCAAGAGTTTCACAAATACTTAAAGACTTCTGAAAACTTTTACAGTTTTCGGAAGAACAAACTACCTATTACAATGTACATTTTTTAGTTTTTTTCAGACAAATAAAACCGCCAATATGTCTGATGTAACTTGCTTCATTGCCACTATGTCATTCTTAGAAGAAATACGGTTTCTGAAGTCAAACCCTTTCGATACTATCGAAATAATCTAGTATTTCATTATTTATTTCTTTTAACAGGAAACCTACTTCTGCCATATAGAAAATACATAACAATAAACGAAGCGCAGCTTCCAAAAAGAGACCAAATCTTAAGCTAATTAGTGTATTGTTAGATAAGTAGGGCCTGAGTGTGGTTTATTTCACTAAATACGCACACTATGGATTAATTGAAAAATTGGGTCGTTTTTCAATCTCGTACACATTTTAAGAAAGAATTTCACTCTTTTTAAACTGTTTTTTTTTCATTGAAAAATTTCTCTTATATTGTTGTGAAAATTTTGGATCATTTGTCAAAAATTGAGTTTTGTCTTTGCCATATACAGTCACATCAATTGATATATCATTTCAATTAATAATAATGAGTAAACATCTCATAATTAACGTTCTTATTAGAGATAAAATTTTCATTGCATTAGTATTCAAAATCTATTTTGAATATCCTGCAGACAGAAAAAAAATGTAAATTATTGGCAATTTCATGAATAACAAACAATTGATTTTCCATCAAACAATATCGAAAAGTAAATAGATAATAAAACTATTGCCACTACGGGTTGGAACATAAATAGTAATATGATAAAAAATTTGACTATTTTCACTCTATGAAAATCATATAAACTGATTTTTTTATCAACCATAAAAGTATATTCCAAGTTTGCTTTTCATAAAAACAACGTTAAATAATACTGTTCTCAATTAAATCCATTGGCTTTAAGAAAAACTTGTAGATCTTTCTAAGGCTTCCAATAAATCTCATGTGCAATATGTTCTCAGTTATTTTTGAAGTGTAAATTTATACAAATTCACGATGTGTTTCATGTAGTTTTTGCTATTTTTGGAGTGTCCTGCATAAAAATAAAAAAATCTTTTTGTTTTTGTTCTTTCTCTTCTTCAGTAGTCATTTTAATTTATCTGTTATCTCCAACTCTTACCTTGTCGCTCATGTCAATAAACATAGGAATCTTTTTCCTATACACAAGTCACTCTCCAAAAAGGGATCTATTTAATATTCTACTAATATAGATATTGTTGTCGCTATCTCGATTACATAACCTAATAAATCAAGTTTAAAAACAAAAAAGCTGTTCATTTGTCTAACTAATCGTATTTAAAAACATTAGCAAACAACAATGTTATTTCATACAGTTATTCTATTCTCACTAATCTACTCAGCGTTTAGTAGTATATCATGCTATGATTGTTCACTAAAACCTGACACATACAATTATATTATTACAGCTGATACAATCCCATCGGAAATTCGCAATTGTCAAATTAAAGCCGATCAAACTGGATGTCGCATTGATGTCAGATGGTATTTAACTACAAATATGACTGGAATTAATTTCCTAGTCTATAATACGTTATCAATGCCATTAGAACATACACTTCGTGTTAAAACTTTTATATCAGGAATCGGAGTTATCCAACAAATAGAGCATTCATTCTATTATTTTTGTACAACTGATCGATGTAATGATCCATATGTATTCAAACGTATATTAGAATCTTTATCGTTAATTAGTCGATTAAATGAACTTGAAGATCTTCTAAAAACCAGAAAATCTATTTGATGGTCGTGGCTGTTTATTTTATACCAATAAAACTGATAAAAGTTGTAATACAACTAGTGATATTGATCCTAAAATTTGTAAACAATGTTCAACAACTTTTACAACTGAAACTATATTAGATACAATATGTGCAACTTGTTTTAGTGATGATATATATGGAGAACAATTAGGTGAGGAAGTTGTTTTTAATATGACTGATCGAACACGTATATCGAGTTCGTTTATTCATTGTCAATCACAGGGTTGTAACGGACTTAATATCGGCCATCAAATTCGTGATAAAAGTCGCATTGCATTTGATTTTAATAAATTTCTGAGTTATAATACTAGTAGTAAACAAATAGCATCGTCATCTTTAATCACAACTGCTATGATTATCATAGCATTTATTATCAAAACTTTCTATTGATTGATGACATATTTGTTACATAAGATGATAAAATATATATTTATTTATTTTGTATTTTGATCTCAATTTTAGATTTATGATTAAAATGAAAATCACATGATGATTTTTGTCAAAAGAATATTAAACATAAAATCATGTAGATACATCTTTTTCACAGTTACTAACTTCATTACCCAACATACTCTTGAGTTTTTTAGTCGCCAAATCTAAATGAGGCAGTAACTGAAACAGAAGAATCATTAAGTCATTGATGTATCTGTATAAACTACGTAAATATCTCAAAAGAAACAAATATTTTTTTTTTTCAATATCTACTATTAAAAATAGGTAAAAAGTGCAGTATTTATTTTTAGTAAGCAGACCTCGTGTGTGTGTGTGTAAATGATAAAGATATATGTTATTTCTGTTGAGTACAAAAGAACAATTAACGAGGTCCGTTATCTAAGAAATTTTTTCTTGTCTTTCTTTGCTGATAATAATTGCGATACTTATCACTCATAGTATAGCGAGATAAAAAAAGCAAAAACTTGATAAACAAACTATATAATCTTTGATGTTGGGACGATATAGACTCTTCGAGAGTTGTATATTTTAGAAGGTTTGTCGAGCACAAGAAAATAGTGCTTAGCTGTCGCAAATTATTCTCTTGATTATGCTTAATCTTGAACTATATTATACATCAGGGATGGAAGTACTTCAATGTTTTCAAGACAGATATTTGTGCAACAACTTCTAAAACACAGGCATTTGTCGATGATAAGTAATCAGATAAAAAAAAGGAATGTTACAAAAACCTCTGCTTTCCATTTATTATTCAATCTCACCTTTTAATAAAATAAATTATAAAAAGAGAAACTAAGTTCTTTTTGAAATGGAGCGTAAGAATTATTAATAAATAACTCTCGCACGAGAAAATGCATAATGAAACATCACGTTTATGCCTATCCACATAAATATTTGGAGTTAGATATGTGCATGACAGATTACAGAGGTCATAGGGTAGTGCGCATGGTCACAGTATAGGTTATTGAAAGCGTAATCTGTTATATTTCGACCGAAATTTTATCAGAAATATTCGGAAGTGATTATTACAAAAAGAAACACAAATAGAACAACATTGGGTCATTCTCGTACAAACTACAGAAAAAAACTTTCAAAATATACATCAAGAAAGTATTCTAAAGCACAAGAAATGAACATATTGAGTGATATATTTAGTAGAGAACCAATTTAAATACCTAATATCCATAATATACAGTTAGATAGACCAGAGTAGCTGACTTTATTGACTACAAAAGATTCCATAAAATTGTGATATTAGACGATTTAGTATAATATCATTGGATTTTATAAATTTTTGGAAGTTAAACATAATCAAATGAAATTCGATGCCATAACAGATCTAGTACATTAATATTTAATCATCCATTACACTCAGTATTCTGCAAGAATTGAAGTTTCTTGTAGCTTCAACAATTCTGAGATTCTATGAAATTTTTGAATGTTCTCAGTTTAAACAACTAATTGTTTCTGAGGAAATACTAAATTCTAAAAGATACTTGTTCCCATTGGGTAAAAGTCACATTATCAGATATATTTGAAGAAGAAAAAACACATCGTTAAGTTTTATCGTAGATCATTCTTTTTTCGTTCATAATTTTTAGAGATCGATAGGTTGAATACAAAAAAATTAGGTTAAAAATATTCAGGTTAAAGTTTTGGACAGAATTTTTACAGGACAAAGTAATAAGCTAATTGATGATAAGAATATTTGATATGAACGATAATTCTTTATATTATATTCTAGGGTTGATTAGGTTTTTTTGTCGAGTATTAGGACTTCACTTTTTCATAATATGCGTTCAATCCCGGCTGTTCTTCATGTTATTATTCACAAAACGAGCCAACACAATATTTGAACTCGTCAACATTTACTTGACGAACTTATTTTCGTTTCAAGAACAATATTATTCTTTTATGTTGTTTATTTGTCTCTTGTACTAAAAGTAAATAAATTCTCAGATCTATTTTGTACATTTTGTATCATCCTACTGTGTTTTTTTTATTTGTTAATGAATCCACACTTGAAGAATAGATGTTTGATTTATATTTCTTGAAATTGAACATGTAGATGGTAAATATCCGTGTAACCATTGAATAAGTTCATCATTTGTTGATGATGATGTTTTATGATTCCATTTATCATCTTTACATTGAAAAATTAATGATTGAAGATTACTCATATTATTAATCAAATCATGTACATTTGTTCGATGTTTTATATCGATGACAAGAGTTTGACATTGACGTCCTAATGATGAATTAGCTAATGCAATACATTGTTCTTTATTAAAATACCAGCTATATAACATAGATTCTTTTGTAAAAAAATCTAATCGACGTATAGATGTATTTTGAATTTTAAATAATATGATTTCTAAATCAGATACATGAGAAAATCTTAATAAATGAAGACGAGGTGCACGATTAAGTAATAACTGTAATTGATTATAAACAGAATCTCCAGGTAATAATGTAACATCAAGAGATATTAGATGATCTAATGATGGAATATTAGATAACAATTTTTCATTAAATGGAAGAATGATTTCCAAATGAGAAATATTTGGAAATTGAATAGGAAAATATTCGAAATTATCTGATATACTATTCTCATGTTGAAGAATTTGAACTTGATTATAACACCAATAATCTTCTTCATTTGGACAAGTAGATTTCGAACAAGATTCATTAATAAAATGAAAATCATGAAAAGCGTATGGTAAAGTATATAAAATAGCTTGACTAAAAGCATTTGATGGATTCCAATCACATCGAACAAACCATCGATGTTTTTGAATCCAAAAATCTGTTTGAAATGTATCAAGTAATTCATCGACTTTATCTTCTAAATTATTGCTTTCAGGAAAATGAAAGTCCATTTTTAATTGAAAAATTTTAAGATTTGGTAAAAAATTAATAAGAATTTTTTTCCATTCATTTCCATTTAATAATATATATGATGTACTCAATGTTAAATAACGTAAATTTAACATTGTTTGAAAGAGATTCATCATTGTTACTATCGAACCTTGAAATGAGAGATTTAAATTAGTTAAAAGTGAAGCAGTAGTTTGAAGTTTTTCATTTTTCTCTGTACATATAATTGTTGTGCAAAGTCGTTGAAGATAAGGTGTTTGTTCGAATACATGAGATAGATAACGAAAATCACAGTTTATATTTTTGATAGAGAGATATTTTATAGATGATGATATAACCGAAAGTTTCGAGAAACATATTCCTTTTAGCATAAAATCATCTATATGACAATTAATTAGTTTTGGTAGACTCCAAATATTATTAATTAAATTATTTTCTTCATTATTAAAAAGACATTGAATTAATTTGAGATGTGTCAAATATGAAAGATGATGACACTGTAATATTATTTTGTTTAATATATCAAGAGATCGAATTGATTGAATTGAAAGTGATTTTAGATAAATAAATTGATCAAGAGTAAAATTATAAGAAAGAAATATTTCAGGAAGATTGGGTGTTTCATCATCATCTGCTAAATAAAGTGAAACAATTTTATCAATAATTGATGGAAGATATTGTTGGCAAACATCGGTAAAATTATATTTAGATATTGATCGAAAATTCAGATGATAACATTTAAAAGAAGTATTAAGAAGTTTGTTAAATCGAGAATTCAAACCATAGAAAGCATGAAAAAGATGAATAGCATTCAGATATTCGAATACATCGAATATCAGTTCATTAGGTAACCGTTCAAACTTCATTTAGTCGAATGTTTTCATAGTATTATAGAGAAAATAATAAACATGTAATTATAAATCCTTTAATCAATATTTATTTGTATTTATTTCTTTTTCTCTGCCTGAATGGTTCCATCGAATAGAAAAAAATTAATTTTTTTTGCGGCTGCTCATGAACGCCCTCTATCGTAATCTACTTTTGCAAGAAAAGTGTAGCTGCAACAACAATACAATGTCTTTTATTATCGAAACATACATTTTTTTAATAGCTGAATTTCAGGATAGATTGTAAAATAAACAGAAACATAAGTTTAATGAATAATGGTTTCCATTGTATAAAAAGTTAAATTATCATGACTATTATACAATATAGAGATTAATTTCATGATCTCGAAAAAATCCAATGTTTCAGCAGATCTATAATTTTTTCAGTTTTCTGAAACCGAATTTTTCCAATTGGAGACATTCTTCGATAGTTTTCATTCCACCACATGCTGTTTCATCACTCAATGACATTGCACCAGCACAAACAGCCAAACGTAATGTTTTATCTAATGGCCATTGTTCATGAATACCGTAAATCATTGCAGCAGCAAATGCATCACCGGCGCCAACCGCACCTTTAATAAATTCATCTGGTAGAATGACCGATCCTTGCCATAAAATATTTCCATTTTTGGTAATCAAAATTGCACCTTGTTCAAAATGAATTGTTACCGTTTTACTGACGCCTATGTCGATAAGTTGTTTAGCGATTTGTTGAATTTGATCGATATTATCACTTGTTAAATGTTGATCGAGAATCAATCCAGCTTCTGTTTCATTGATAATCAAATGATCTATAAACGGTAAAGATGCTTGAGCAATTTTAGAATAATTTGAATTTTTCCCACTAGAAAAATCGACAACTGTTTCTAGTCCAGATAAATGAGCTGCTTCTAATACTTTTGATGCATTTGTTCGTTTATTATCATCAATCAACTGATCCAGTGCAGTTAATTGAGTTAAAGGACCAAGATAAAATAATTTCGCTGTCGTTCGAGAAAAATCAAAATGTTGTTCATTCAAATATGCATTGGCACCTTGTTGATGAAAAAATGTTCGTCGATTAGTATTTTCAATACTCATCACATAAGTGCAAGATGTTGGAGTGGAATCATTCATCATTTGTAATTGACTTGTGTCAATATGGAATTTCATACAATCTTCTATCAGCCATTTACCATTGGCATCATTACCTATTAAGCCGAGAAGCGATAGTGGAAAATGAGTTTTCATGGCTACAAGATTTTTCACTATATTAAATGGTCCACCACCACCGGCCATAGTTGATGGACGTCGAACAAAAGATGTACAATTTTCCATTGGCCAATGATCAATGATGATAATATAATCGACAAGAACGCTACCGCTAGCTATCAAACCTCTTCGATCAGTTCTTTTTTTCGTCTCAATTGGAGTATGTTCCATACTTTTTTTTTGGATAACACTGAGTTTGTTCGAATCTAGAAACAATAAAATGCAATCATTTATTGCATAGAACTTAGAGATTTTGTTCTTCAAATTCCTGTACAGATTTCATCACATTTGAGTCTTAAACAAGTCAAAAAAAACATTTCTTTTGTGAAACATCACTAACTAACTCGTCTTAAAAGAAAAAAAAATGGTATTTGAATGCAGGAGTCATGCATATTGTCTGTTGATGATTACTAATCATGATTCCCATTGGTTTGAATCGTTTCGATCAAGTTTGTAGTCGAGTAACCTTCGATGAAAGGAATGTTTCGGACGCTTCCACCATTATGGAGAACAAAATCAGCTCCAACAATTGTATCAGTCGTGTAATCTCCACCCTTGACTAGAACATTAGGCTGAAGAGCTTTGATTATATCAAGTGGAGTTGATTCTTTGAACAGTGTTACAACATCGACGAACTGCAGGGCAGCCAAAAGACGTGCACGGGCATATTCATTGACTATAGGTCGTCCTGGACCTTTAATCTGACGTATTGATTTATCGGTATTGAGACCTACAATTAGCTTATCGCCCAGTTGACGAGCTTTTTCCAAATAATCGATATGTCCCAAATGAACTAGATCAAAACAACCATTAGTAAATACGATAGACTGCCCTTTGGAACGCCATTCTTCAGCTAATTGGATGATTTGTTCAAGAGCGAGAATTTTTGATTCTGTAGTAGGATGAGAATGTGCCATAGAGCTGCTTTGAGCTTTCAGTCTAGAAAGACGTCCATTGAAAACAAATAGGAGAATAGGAGGCATAAAACTATTGTAAAGAGGTCAAAAAAAGGTGCGCTCCAAAGTGCGTAAACTCCAAATTTGGAGCTCACTTAGGCATCGTCATTTTACTCATCATATCAGTCCTTGCTTTAGGACTTCCGGTACTAAGACAATATGTGATTGTTGAATAACTGATAATTAATTGATTCATACTCATCTAATTAGTGTTCGTGGGGTATCAAAGATAATTTTTAAGGGCTATTCAGGGGTATCAAGATTAAGTTGTCAAAAGCTACTCGGCAGTACTAAGGATAACGTTTCGAGGACTATTCGGAGGTAATAAGGGTAACTTTGAAAGGGCTATTGAAGGGTACTAAAAGTAACTTTCAACGGACTGTGTAAAAGAGGGGGTACCAAGAGTGACTTCTTAAGGGTTATTTGGGGTAGAGTGTGGGTGTGGGGTTGGGTGTGGATGCGGGTGTAAATAAAGAGCAGATCCATACCAACACCCTTTCGACATATAGAAATATTTGAGTCGTAAGAAGGTTTCTCGAGTTTTGTGGATTTGATAATCTTTCTATGGATAGGGCGTTCTCGCAGAAAACTTTTATTCCACTATTGTAAGAACAAAATATAATATTGTTTGAACGATATGAAAGAGAACCCTCGCGAATCTGTAGATCGACCAAGAGTACACGATGCTTTACCCTTATAATGGTGAAAACAACCGTTGCTAAAATCTGATCGGCTAGGAGTTTCTTCTTCTCGACGAATCGGATTTCAGTAAAGGCTTTTTCCTCCATGGTAGAGGTAAAACATAGTGTTCTCTGTGCCGCTCGCGGGGCTTTGATAGGCTCTCTTTTGTATGCGGCTCGAACGAAACCATCTTTTCGGTTGACAATAAAAGAAGGAATTGCGTGCTTTTTATCAACACCAATCAAATTTCAGAAATGGTTTTCACTACTAGGGTAGGAAAAAGATATGACGTTGTTTGGGTCATATGAAAGAGGGTCTCTCAAAACCTGCGGCTCGATGCGGTGAACACTATGTTTGGCTCTTACAATCATGAAAAGTTCTTGCCAAAGTCTGATGGGTTTAGAAGAAAAGCTCCCAGCCAATTAGATTTCAATAGAGTTTGTCTTTACTGCAGTACCGACAAAACATGGTGTTGGTGAAACAAATCAGGGCAATAGTATGGATGCTCTGTTAACTGGTCCGAATGATGTAATGTTTTGTTCGTAGTGGAAAATTGAAAACAGTCGGAGTTGCCCAATGCAATCGATCGAACTCAATTATAAGTGAAGTAAGCGATTAAGCAGCAAATCTTGATACTTAGTAATTATGGTTAAGGAAAGGCAGTACATGTTTGTTGTTCATTAAGTCCCTTTAAGAAAATACTACATCAATGTCTGTAATTTCTAAGCCTATCTTGAACATCTTAGCTATAACATTTGTAGGATTATTTTAGCTGTGTAACTGCAACTTTGTAAGTTCTATCTGGTGATTATGCCTATAGTTTTTCAGACCTTATGTAGGCGTCATAGCTGTATGTCTTCCAGATTTACTTGAAAAAAATACATATGACTGCTGTAGGCATAGATGACGTCATGTCTTTTATTGTCAGGACCTCTCTAAAGACTGGGGCGAACTATTCCACTTGTTCATAAGGTGAGCTGAGATAGTTCATTTGACTCTCGATATCACACAAGTTTTTCTGTTATATTAACTTATTTTTAACCTGTCGAAAAATGTTTAGAGTGACGACGGGGGTATAGAAAAGACCCATACCCACATTTACAGCCATACCTTCATGCATCTGGACGCGGATATTACCTTGTAATATCTCTCACGAAAATTTCTATTTCTGTCTCAAAGTATACTCAAAGTCATAAAATACTTTGTGTCCACTCTTAGTACATGATGACCAACACAGCATAAAATATCTACAGAGCAGCCTTTTTAGTCCAAGAGTTTTGTGCCCAAACTGTAACGCAATCCATTCGACAAGTCGGTTTATCAAAGTTACTGATGCCTTGCCCATGCAGGACTCAAAAACTGACAAATATCTTGTTTAGATGGCGCCTAAAATGTTACAGATATCATGCTCAGATAACCCTTTAAAAGTTATAGATATGATGTCCTAGTAGCCTTTAAAGAGTTATTGGTATCATGTCCTAGAAGCCTTTAAAATGATATAGATAGGATGCTCAGATAGTGCGCATTCTAATTAGTGCTTATTAAGGTAGGTACTAATTAATGTATTAATTTATTAGTTTCCAGTTATATAATGCTCATAATCTATGACTCCAATTGATGAGAGTCTACTTGTTGCTATAAAGTATAAAACATGAACTGGGTATTATTGGTAAAATGCGGATGCGTCAGTTAGCTACAATTTTGGAGTTTACGTGTGGAATTCACGTTTTTTGACCTTGTAAAGATCATTTTATAAGATTTTATAAATCAATATAAAGTGTAAGCTTTTGATCGATCTCAGAAACTACCGTCCGATATTCTGATTTGCGAATGACTTTTCATCTTTACCTGCATCAAAAGAGAAGCATATATATACACAATAAAATGAATTTGATTTTACGAGATCAAGGACAAAATTGTGCGAAAGAAAACAGACAGATGCTGTCAACGAGATGAAAAAAAAATCATTAACAGAACAGAAGAGTAATTCGCAAGTCAAAATATAGGATTATTTTAATACTGTCTATACTATTAAGAAAAATAAGGTTTTCATCAACGGACTTTTGATTTTTTTTTCTTTCTCAGTAAACTATGTCATTGAAAAATAAGTAATCATTTAATTAATGCTATCAGAGTCAATCGATCGGCGATAGCCAATATTTGATCTTCTGTTTACTATGAAAATCGTCTCATACAGTTTGTATGTCTTCATCGGCCCACTATCGTTTTTATTGCTGTGCTATGATAACTATTCAACGTAAAACTCAGTCTGAAAATAAAACATTAATATCTAGCTTTGCAACATAAGTGTCAGCACTGAGATTCCCCTGTCATTTCGTTTTAGTTAATGATTCGGATGTGAAACGCCAAATACTGCTATCTGTGGAGAAAAAAAGATACAACATGTTAATACCTTGCGCGTGCATGCAAACACGTGATACTTCGTTAACGTATGTACGCCTTCAACTGTCGTTTAATACTGTGCATAATAAAAAAAGCGTGCATATTCTCTATTATTAGGTGAAACGCTTGATTGAAGTTGATGATATAGCTAAATACGGTACGATTGGGTATGAATCTACTGCCAATTAGAAAAAAACGTTTTCTCTATTTTCTTACTCAATTTCTCAGGGTCAAGCATAAAAGAAAAGTGAATTGCATTAATTTCGTTTCAAGTCGAAGCTTGTTTACACTGAGGAATCGAATCACCAATATTAGAACAGGGCAGACCTCTATAATATAGGTAAAGTGCATAATAGAAAATAGTAATGCAATGAGAGAGATCTTTGTCGTGCGTGTACGATTGTTACCAAGTTATTATTAAATTCGTTTTTACAATTACCAAGTCTAACGAACCAACTTCTATAAGCAGCTAATCTGTTCTTTTTAATAAGAACTAGACAAAGTCTTAACAACGCCAGCTCCACAAACTTCTTTAAAACCAATTTCAAACAAAAAGAAACGATTTAAAAAATAAACAAGACTTTCATTAACAATTTATTTTAACAAAAGAGAACAAGAGATCCCATAACAATTTTATAACGAAAAAAAAACAAAGTGATAATTGTTTGCAACAAAGAAACAGAAAAAACAACAAGGGTTCTGCAAGAAAAAACAAGTAAGCGCTTGTCTAACACCAATCCCATCCGTTGTTGATATATTACAAGAAAGTTTTTTGCAAACTATTTGTGGAATCTCGCATTCAAATTCATAATAGTCTCCGAAAACAACACATAAATTATGTAAAATTGCTGTTGCTTTAATGATGTTCGTCATATTGTTGAGATCGAATTTCATTTTTTTATGCCAACAGCGAAATCTGTTCTTCAATAAATCAAAAGCTCGTTCGGCAATGTGCCTACACCTACTGAATCGCTAATTAAATATACTTCTATGCTTTGACATGTCTGGACGTTAGCGAAATGACTTCATTAGTGTCCGATCTCATGCAAACGCTGAGTCAGTAGTTAAATATGACTATATTTTTATGTTATTTACCATTATATGATGATCTTGATAAATATAATGCTGTATAACTTCTGATGAATGTGACCAGATGTATAGTGGCGCCTCGTTGCATCTGTCTGACGCGCCAGCATTAATATAAGTAAATTCTAAATCAGAATTAATCACTGTTAATATGATTACCGAATAAAACTTTTTGTAATTGTAATAATTCGTTTTTAACCCTAATGGTGGTTTAACACGGACATGTGTTCCATCTAATGCACCGATACACATTGGATAACCAAACTTACTTAAAAACCTAGTAATTGTATCTTCAATTTCTTTATTTTTATTCGGGCATTTTATGAGACGATAAATACAACCAGTTGATCAATGTTGCACAAAATTCATGTAATATTTCACCGATAGTGCCTTTGCTAATCCCAAACAAGTTTTCAATATATCTTATTTCTGATGATGAACTAAATGAATATAAAGCAGAGGAAATTCTTTTTTCAACTGGGATAGCCACCCGAAAATTCGTATAACTTTTCTGTAAATACGCTGCTAGTTCATGAAGTAGTACTGAAAATGTAGAGCGTTCTAGACGAAAGATATCTTTGAACTGTTAATCCGCCATTGTAGGCACTATCTTTATCCACCAACTTTAATTTTTTAAAAAGATCATACACGAAGACGATCAATTTCAAGTGATTTATCAATAAGCATTAATAAAGTTATTATGAGTTTATTTTGAAGCTTTGAACGACGACGATATCTACGTACTAAAAGTCGACATTCAAGCCGAGCATCATTAATATCATGATTTAATCGTTGTTTTCTTAATAGAAATAAATGTAATAAAGCAAAAACTGATGCTTCATTCATCTAGAAATAAAAACAAACTGCTAATAATAATCACTGTGAACATTTTTCAACTAGACTGATATCTTGTTCGAACATAGTTCAACTCAGTGATTCTTTAAAAGCTAATGAAGTATAAATTAAAGATAGATAATATCCAAATACTTCACAGATTATTATTTTAATATTAACCAGTAATAGTGATGCATGAACTATAGATATCACCATAACAACTAGTTTAGAAATAACAATCTTAACATAAAGAAAAGAAAGTTAAAAATAGCATCGTCACAAACAATTATCAAAGAAAAAATTGAGTATCAAATACTATATAATAAATAAAGGAATTTTCACGAAAGATACGCATTGATAAATACATGTATGAGAATCTAACAAAAAGCTTCATTGATCACAGTCATATTGTTCATTATGCTCGTGAAAACATTCAAGAATTCACGCTCGTTGTTAATATTTTATTCTTTAAGACGTATTTGTTTTTCCAACAGTTCCACCACATTTACTTCTCTTTGAAATGTCACGTCACTTGCATTATCAATTTTTCCGAGCAATTCTTTTAGGCTACTATTTAGTCGGTTATTAGAATAAATGAAATGGTCAGTAGATGAAAAAATTCGAAAAATCAGTAAACTCAATGAATGGTCAGTAAAATAATGATTAGTCAGTGAACTAATGAAATGGTCAGCTATTAACGACGTAAATTTGTAATCAAATGAAATGATCAGTAAATAAAATTTATCACCAGTAAATTAAATGAAAAGGAAAGTGTATAAATTTAAATGTGCGTTAGTATCATTCACGTCTATTTTTTTCTGTTTTACTATGTTAGCGGATGATGGGTGGTATATGTTTTTCTCTTTCCTTCTGTAACTTTGACATCTGTCAAAAGTACATATGTTTCGTTTCTATTTGGAATTTTCCTCGATTTACTTAGCGATCGTACGTTCCCTCTATGGACTTTTTCATAACGCGATCGGAAATTACCACAACTAGGCGTTATCTAATACCTATATAAACTCACGAATTTTTATAATAAACGATCATCATCAAGCGAACAAAATAATACACTCATAGATGTGTGGAAATGGACATTGATTCACATTGGAAAACATCCACATGCAACTATTCAGCATTTATTAAAAACTATACATGTAAGCACGTTGTCGGTATGAGTATACGGTTAAAATATTGCAAAACACCACCACCAGCAAAGACAGTTCCAATTGGCGAAAAAAGAAAACGTGATCGACCAACAAGAGCTAAACCCGTTCTGTTGGTGCAATAATTTAATGATCATTTTCTTTATTAACACTAATTCACAAATGTCTTATTTAATATTTCATCAGATTCCTTGTTATATTTTCTAAAATTCTTTCTTTACATTTCTCTTTCTTCCACTAGAGTATACTTTATGCTGACAAAAGGTGTTTTTCAACTGATCAAAACTATATTTTTTACTGACCAAATTTCTCATTTCTACTGATATAAACTATATTTTTCTACTGCCACTTATACGTAATAAACTGACCAATTCCTAATTATTTACTGATATTTTTAATACTGACAAACCGATATATATACTGATCATTTCTATACTCTTTTACTGACCATTTCATTTATTTTATTGACCGGTTAATATTTTCCCATTCTTTTATAAGATCAATTCTATTAATAGAAAAAAGAAAACACATTCATTTTATAAGATACTTAAACTTTTATTACATTATCTTAAACATTCGTTTCTTCTTTTTTGGAAGATTCTTCTTCGTGGTGGAGCTCTTCTTTCCCGAGAGTTTCAGATTTTTAAATACAACTAGTCTGTGAAGGACTTGATGATTTACCTGAATTGTCAAGATTAGGACAATGTGTTTCTTCAGAATTGGTGATTACTGACACAATCATCAACTTGTTCAGAAACTTGAGTTCAGTTTGAAGTTCAAACTTTCATCGATTATTCTTCTATTTGTGGTCTATCGTTAGTCATAGTGTCAACTCATGTCAATGAGCGTGGGCTGTGTTAGAGGCCTCCGAAAAACCCAGAATTTCTTCCCTGAATCATTATTTTTTCGATCACAATAACACTGTGGCACTAAACCAAGATAATATTTTGGGAGTAAATCATCGAATTGCATTCAATCACGTAAAAAAGCACGTGTTTTTCGAAAAAAAATTCTGGTTCCTATGCTGAAATACTGAATATTGTAATGATTCAATGTATACGATTTTCTTTTAATAACCAAATTCAATAAGAAGTTTATTAGATATTTTACTGGAATTTTGTTGTTTGCACTCAACCGAAGTCACCAAATTATTCGATTGACTAGATTGGTTCTGATTTATTTATTGCTATTATTATTAAAAATCTATAGAAAAATCAATTCCTTTCAAAGCTACTAAAATCGTTCGATTATACTTCATTCATGTAAATTAAAAGAAATAAATTATAGCGCAGCCTTGGGAGAAATATTAGAAGAAGCTCTTGAGAGCTGCAATAAACATGTTCGTAATTTTCATGAATATTTATCTGGGAAATGTGAACACAATGAATCTAACAAATATTTTCAATCAACATTTTATTCGTTCCGATTTACTCCTAAGGCAAATAATTACTGATACATTTACAAAACGACAAACATATTCACAAGCACGAACGACTAAATTGCAATCACTGAATGAAGATGATAAAATACTCTACGATATGTGTCTTCAAAAATTTGGCTTCGCGATATCAAATTTGTATATAACTTTGTTAAGATTGAAAAGCAGTTAAATAGAAAAGGAACTCATCTTATGAGTAATGGCAAGGCCGAAAAAAGTGTAAAAAAAGTTAAAAATAGCACGCGTTGAACCAACAACTACAGTTTTACACTACGTTTACTATGACCAAAAATTGAGTCCTCACAACAATTCTTAGTTTATGATCAATATCAATAATCGCAATTAAAACTTTTTTAACTTACGGAAACTTTCGCTGAAATCCTTGAATCTTTCTTTCAGAAACCCATAAAAATGAAAATTTACAAACTTTTTCTGAATGTTGCATTAGAAAGACCGCATCAAAAAGGCTATACAATTTTGTTATAGTTGATAAAAAGTGGTTCTTACATACATGCTCGCCTGGTATACGAAAGCTGCCCAGTGTGTGCTTAATACGCTATTATTCCCAATGCTCAAGTATAGCATCTAAAAAGCTTTCTCAAATATACATACAGTATCAAAATGAAAATAGTTCCACAATATACGTGTATATTGCAACGTTTCTATGCAAGCAAATTAACTCATACAACGATGTTTTAACGCACCTATGCTTGAATGATGAAACATGCTAACTTAGTATAAGAGCAATTGTTGTATAATGAATTCTAAATGGATATATGAATTAACTTCACGTGAAAGTCTCAAATAGGAACACTCAGCGTTGCCTATCAAATTTTTATATTTTGGATTAGTTATCATGAATTAATGTTTCGTGTTCTAATATAACTTTTGAAACGCTTGAATTGTTAGAGCTCGGAGATGTCTTCGTAGATAGATTTCAGCATCGACTACAAACTCGTTATATTTTAATTTATGCATACATTCCCTACAGTAACAATACACATTAGTGTAATAATCAGTATTGAATAATGTACATTCAGAGAATTGATATCAAACTTCCAATAGGAGCTAAAACTGAAACACAATATACTGTTTGATTACAACTATCAATTTTGAGTGATGTTTCAATATTTCATGCGAATAAAAGTTTTATCAATGAATATCGATCTGATGTTTTATAACTCATCATGTGAGAGTTGAAATCAAGAGATTGACTTGATGTACTATCGAAATGTGGTCAATTGGTTGTCAAACAAATGAGCTAAAGCACTACTCATCAGCACCTTCCACAAAAAGATTCATCACTAGATGACATCAAGATACGAACAAAATACTTTGAAATATGCAAGAAATGATAAATGAAGAGATTATTTAATGAGAAGTTAAAAACGAAACTGAAAATCAGTCGTAAGTTATTAGAAAAAGAACTAGTAGAATAAATTTTTGAAATATTCAAAAGTAGATAAACCATATAATATATTTTGTTAAATTGGACATAAGATCGATATATATAATCAATATTATAGGTAGATCAACTCGTTAATGTTGTAAATTTGTTGAACTTGACTTTGGTAAACAATCATAACATCGTTTTAATTCAAGAATATGAATAGGACTCATCTTAATTCGTTGTCCAATTAATGCAGATGAATTCTGTGTTGAAATTATCGTCTGCAAACCATTCTTATTAAAGGAATATGGATCATAAAGCATTACGGATTCATGACCATATGAAGTTTGTAGAGTACTAAGTACAGAATTACTGTATTTTTCAATATTCTATTATATACCTAAAAAAATGAGACGTTGCTTTACAATTCAATCACTTTTTTAAATCTGATTGAATATTAGGCCACTGAATTGAAATATATGAATCACGATCAGGTCGTGATTGTTCATGGTTAAAATCTTTAAAGAAACAATCTAATTAATTTTATCAATAATAATTTTCATCTTAACCTAAGATATGAAGTAATTCATGTTGAATAATCTCTGTTGTCATACAAGTACAAAGCCATGCGTGCATTAAATTAAGATAGTGAGCAACTTGATAACTACTCTAATCATCAACTTAGAATTGAAAAAAATGTGCATCAAATTGATTCAGATTGAAAAGAAATACTATGTTATAAACAGTGGCTAAACAACCAGTAGAGTTTTGAATGATGATATATATAATTGGAATCGGATATAAGAGCAGAATGATTTTGCAGGTATACAAGAAAAAAAAACTCAGTCAAAGGAATACAAACATATACTTGATGTCATTACATAAGGAATAGGTCTATTAATCCATTGTTGACATGATGTTCAATCACCAATTCATTTCTTTTATTTTAAAATAGAAAATATCCATTTATTTTTTCGTAATAATTGTTAGTAGCTAAAAGAAAACGACAGATCGACTCGAAAAATTCTCAATAGACTAACCCATTACTGTTGGTTTTTGATTACCATTCTATAATAAAATGATAAAAAAGAATGGATAATCCATGAAGAACTACTGTAAACTTAATAGACAGAAACATCACCATTGATTTTTATGCCTCATATAGTGACAAATGTTCTTTTTAAAGCAAATATTTCTACACATACCACAAACCTCAAATAGAATGGATGAATGTTTTTTTTGCTTTCTTCTTCATAACTTTCGTAAATACAAAAACATTTCATATTGTCTAGTGTCCAACAAAAATTATGAAGAAAAACTTGTACATGTAATTGAATCATTCTATTTCTGTTTCGTATTTTTCTTTCCAATAATGTGGAACGAATATGTTCGCTTAGCCTAGATTTCTATTAGAATCAAATAACAAATGACTCATTTTTGAAATACCTGAAGCTGGTGGTTGATTATAACAAAACATTTTGTTTCCCTTTATTCATGCATGATATGACGTATATAGATTCAATCAAACACGTTATTCTTAGAAGCGAGATATCAGAAGAACATTGATGGCAACTGATCTCGAATATTTTAGGCTAGACAAATAAAGAAAAGTATAGTATACCAGCGTGTAGTATGAGAAAGACTCTAAATGAATATGTATAAAGTAAACTGTTGTGACACATAGATGACATCTTCACATCAGAACGAACAAATCATAGATTGTTTTAAAAGCTAAAATGAAGTTCGACATGAAATTACGTAATTTGTTTACTTACTTCACTTTTTCGATTAGAAAATAAAAGGTTAGATTCGTATTTATTCCAAATACGTGTAGTTTTCGTACATATAGAGCAAGGAGCTTCTTCCCAAACATGTCCATCTAAGTGACTTTTTGAAGTTTCGGAATATATATTCAAAAGGATAAGATAGATCATCTAGATTCCAAGTAGGTTTTTTAATTGATAAGTATTCAATTGATAAAGAAATGATATTGATATCAGTGAATCGATAGTTACTGAAGCAGAAAATATTCAAGTTTAGATGTGTACGTTTTGGTGGACTCGAAATAATATAAGTTAAACGAAGAGCACATTTATTTTTTCAAAGAAATTGACATTGGATTATGCTAAAATGCATGAAATAAAGAAGATTTCTTAGTAAAAGTACTAAGTTTTGGGTAACTGAACGTGTACCCTGTTACTAAGTAATATGACACCGATATTTTTAAGTACTTGGATATTTTCAGATACTCAACAAGTACTTTTAAAAGTATTTGAAAATGAAATGCTTCTTATTGCTTAATTACTCAGCCTGTGATGACATTATCAATACAAGTGTTCGATATTTGATAAGTATCTGATCAGATTTATTACGAATGTCCTCAATTACCCATGTATCGAAGCAATTTTTAGCAGAATACCCCCGATGAATTACCTATGATATAATTAGCAAAGTATTTTTTCGAGTGTCCTACTAGAATTATCTCAGTAAATGGGTACTCTAAACTCAGTACTCTCATTAATGCTACAACATAGAAATATAATTCGATTTTATGTATAAAAAGAATTGTAAATAATCAAATTGTTCGAGAATAAAAGATTGAGAAAGAAATTACTCAGCTAGATTTGGCATCTCATCATCAATGGATAGGTATAAGGAAAAAGTTGATTGATAATGGATGAAAGATTTTGTCGCTAGACGATGTCAAAATCATATTCTTGATATAGATCGAGAATGAATTCAAATATGAATACAAGAAAGATTGTTAAAACGAGCGTCAAGATTATAGAAGGTGAAAAAAAGATGAGTGCTGTTGAAATATTCAAATAAATCAAGTAATAATTTAGTAGTCAATTATTTCAATGTCATCATCCTTTTTTCTCTCCTCAATAGCGTCTAATAAATCGAATTAGTTTTAATCCTAGATAATTTACTTTTGTACTTGACAAACATAGAAAATATATAATTACTTTTCATAAATAAAACTTTATTATTTATTTTCATACAAGTAGATAATTCAAAGTTTAATGGATAAATAACTGTTGTTTCAAAGTTTTTATTTTGATAATTATCCGTCAATTGTTTATCGCGAAATGAAGCAAATATTAAACGAATGAAATAATACAAGATATTATTTTTCATATATTTTTTTTTGTACAATGTGTATTCGTACACGACATGCGCAAATCGTAATTTGCATTTCTCATTGTAGGATTGCAAAAAGAATTGAAAAAAGAAAGAAATGTAAGCCTTTCGTTGTAATACGATTTTTCGAGAGAAACCAAAGTAGTGACGATCTCCTTCATATAATCGAGAGCTTTATGGAAAATGAAAAAAAAGGATTTCTTTTCTTTTGTGTAAAATATAAACAAACATGTGGCACAATCATAGATGATGAATTTAAACATAATCACAAATACATGATAAGAAAAACTTCCAAATGCTCTTTAATCGGTCGGAGAGCCAAGGTATTTACACATTCTTTTTTTCTCTTGAAAGCATTTATAATTTTTACTATGAGTTTATCATTTGAAAAAGGCGCTCGTTTAACACTAGTTATTCATTCTTTATGCTTTCATTTTGAACTAATGCAAACTAATATGTGTACTAAGTTTTATTTATTTAAAAAAGGTATGCACGTTTGGAAAGAGAAATATAGAGATTATATTTTTATTCTCAAAAATCTCGAAAGTGTCTGGAAAAATGATAAGCCTTATATAACTTTAGAAGAAATTTCGAAAAGAGCTTTTGATCTAATCAATTCTAAACCATGATCTTTTTCTTGAATATCTTTCAAGCGAATACGTACGAAAAGTGCTATTATTGTGTTAATTTTCTTTAATTGCATGGTTATATCTCATATACATTTTCGATCACAGCGTTCTTCTACTGACTCTATTTTAATGTTAACCACTAAATCTATGACACCTGTCACCTTTCAAAATCGACTTAAATCAATATCAAATCGTGTTAAACACGATGTCTATAATCACTGCAAATCATTCTCACAAAAAAGTAATCTATTAGAACCATTTCAACCTAATAATCAATTCTCTCTCAACAGAACAACTACTTTAGAAAACGTTTATTTATTATTACATTATTCACCAAGAAGAGACGATGAACATGGATTATATTTACAAATAGCTACATCATATTTACTCTCACAAAATTTACAACAATTATCTATTCAACAACAAATTCGAACGCGAGTAGCTATTTTTCTTAGTGAAAACTATACAAATGTGACATATACACGATTAGAACAATGGTTTAAAAGTATTTATGAGCCATACACAAATGTAACACATATCTTTCGTACAAAAGATGATAAACAAGCATCGCGAGAATTTATGATGAATTATACAAAATATGATGAAGAAGTTCAATTAGATACAATTTTATTTCTACTCGAAGATGATTATATATTTGAAGTAGATATGCTATCTGATACAATTGAATTTTTTTCTAGTCACAATCCTTGCTTTATTCAACAAACAGATAATTCGGATCGTTGTAGATTGGATATAAATGAAAATGATGGTTTTATTACTATTGTGAATGGAAGAACTCGTTTATGGCGTTCCATATCTACAACTACTGTTACTTATGCATGTCGTTTAAAAACATTTCTGGCTTTCGAAGATATTATGATGCATTATGACAATGACTTTGAATCACGTCGAAAAATACGTGAACGAGTTGGTAATGTGGCTATATTCTGTGCTGTTCCATCTTATGGTATTCGTTTAGAAGCTCTTCTTTTGCCGAATGAAATCAATTCAACGGTCGATATTGACAATGCAGCATATTACAAGGATTGGTGGTCATTTGCTCGTCATGCAGTTTCCGAAGCGCAGAAACAAGATACTTTTCCAGCCCCAAAAGTAAACGAACAAAATCTATTCACTAAATGATTTGTTTAAAACCAGCAAAATCAATATCATAGATATTATCTTGGAAAATGTTTCAATTATATACGGACACTTTTACGAAGAGTTTTTTTAGTTTATTTTAAACGCATATACTCAGTTCTTTTCAGAATTCATTTGTATCTTACATAGCATATAAATTATCTGCTAAACTATTTACATATATTTTCAGACACTATTGATTGTTATTAGGCATTACCATATTTAATGGAGCATCAAAGTCTAATACATGTTAAACAGATTGAGAGCATGATACTTTCCAATGTATAGGAAATAGAAATTTCTGCATGTGACTTTGCAATGAATGAAACTAGTTAAAAAATACTATTATACTACAAGGGTTCAGATTAAATATCAATAATCTATAACTAACATGAAACTCTACTCAGTCAACTTAAAAGGCCAAACTTCTAGTTTGGCTTGCGTTTCGTCACCGAATTCATTTTATTATTAAAAGCGAACAGGAATAACATGTATATCTTTGAAGTCAGATTGAGTCAAGAAATTCATTCTATAAACAAAAGTATATCGGGTGTGCATGAGAGTGTGGACAGGTCATCGCAAATCTCAAATGGGTATTAATTTTTAAATCTGAATTATTTGCTTGTTGTAGATGTAGAAAGATTTATTTCAGTGTCTCTTAAATTCAATTGAAGATCTTAACGATATACAATTAGTATATACTTGATCATTCTGATAGGAAAAATCGAAGAACATTGCTCTTCCTTAAAATATCTCTTTTATATACAAAATCTGACTGAATTTACTTAATTTCTGAAAAATATCACTTGCAATTGATGCTTCACTTCAAAGATAAAGACTTCAGTTTTCATATTGATTTATCATAGAGAGATTTGAGTTTTAACTAAATCATTCTCTAGCACCTTTCGTTATCGATTCTTATTTTAAATTCAATCAAATCTTGATATAATATCTTATACACATAGGTTTTCACTTCAAGTTTATCAAAAAACCATTTAAATACAAAAAAATATTTTATGTGAAAAAAAGGAGAATGTGGGTGTATATGAGTGAGTATGTGTGAATATATGTAAAGAGATGATCCAAAATCACAAGGCTCACACCTTTATTTTGATGAATATAAGATTCTCATTTATGCAATGCATTAAATTAAGTGTTATGTACTTTTATCTAAATTATGAATTAGTCTGTTGGCTTAGAACCAGAGCTGCCAGATCTTCTGAAGAAAGGAAAAGTTTTTGAAATTTGAACATTTTACTGTTTTTTTTCTGATTTTGGTACCTTCTCCTGTTTTTTTCCGAATTTTGCACATTTTAAGATGGTAGCCTTGCTAGTGAAACTAAGTGCAATTGTAACTCATTAGAATAATAAAGATCCTTCACTCCTTTCGAGGTTCGTCCAATATTTGTCCATTACCTCCAACTTGCCTATCAAATTATTTTCTCAATCTGTCCCGACACATATGGCTTGTTCTAAATTGATTCTCAATTGACCACTTTTCTAATTCTTCCTTAAATTATTACTAGTGCAGTAGACTACCTAAAATATGAAACTTTGACATCATAAATATTTATTAGAAATGAAACTACAGGGTGAAGAACCAGACAGCATTATAGCACACTAATTTGTTTTTTGAATAACCGAGTCTTCACAGTTCGTTCTCATTTCACTACCAACTGAACATCATAAAAAATGCCAAGGACAACAAAGAAAAACGGTCGAATGCCGTACGATCACTAAACGGTATCACTAGCGGATATTAACTAAAGTCAATCGTAACTGAAAATTTTGAATTAAATATAAATTTGACTATCTATGAAGGAAGATGGAAGCATGGACAAGTTGGGAGTAAAGCGTATTAATAGATCGACTCTACGAGATTTTTTTTCTATTAATCATTGGCAGTTTTTGAGTTACACAACTATCTAATAAATTGAAGTTGCATCATTTTCTTGTTTTACTCCATTTCGATGGTCTTATCTTATTTTATATCACACAAATACGATTGAAAACCCTATATTATTTCAAGCACACTTGTTAAATGAAACTCGAAGAAATGCAAAATATGAACAACTATATCGAGATGATGCCATATATATACGATTTCTTTTTGTGCCTTTTTTTTCGTGAAAAAGTTTCGAGTTGAGTGAAGCAGTTTGATAATAACGAGGGAAGGTCATCAACTGTTCAATCGCTTTTGATTGGAGACTAGACGTCTTATGTAAGCCCAGATGAGTTATGAAAAAGCTAATAAGAGTTTCGGGCAGTTAACTTATTGCGACGGAGATATTTCACCTTTACGTTATGTTTTTAATAAATGTCGTGTTCCTCCTCAGAACTGCCAGAAAATCTTACTTTCGAATTTCGACTTGAAATTTCACATAGAGATAGATATTAATAAGAATAGTTTATTGTACAAATTTTAAGCCATTTCATTCGCTTCTATTCTAAAATAAGACCATCAAATTTGCTAGTTCATATGAGCTATGTAAAATACACACTATTACCATAGTTCTATCTTAGAATAGGGACAACAATAAAATCTAAAACATTCATAACAAACTATTCTAATCAAGACCTATCTCTATGCAAATTTTCAAGTCGAAATGTGAAAGTAATGTTTTCGATATTCCTGAAGGGGGCACGGCGTTTATTTAAAAAATATCGCAAAAGTGCCGTATCTTCGTAGAAATAAGCTAACTGTCCGAACTCTTTTTAGTTTTTTCATAGTTCATCTGAGTCTACATAACGTTCATAATCTCTACTCAAAAGCGATTACATATTTGGTGACTTTGCCTCGTAAGTGTTTTTATTACTTTTTTCTATTAGCTAAACAAAATATTTATTGCATATTATCTTGCTTTATAGTGAAACACAATTGAAAATAAACTATAAGTCAATGAACGGAAAGGCAGCAGAGCATTGAATGCTAGCATGCTAATTTAATACCTAGTGGCTTGCAAAAAAATTGACCTTTCTGATTAATTTTTGATTTTTCATAAAAAATTTCTGATTTGCAAGTTTTTGATCTGGCAAATCTGACCACCACCAAGGCAGCAATAACGATGGTGTCGCGATAGATGTCTCTGCTTCATCCATTTGCTAGTGAACTTTAGACATGTTTCACTATACAAATGCAGTAAAATTGTGCATTTTTATTTGAATGAATATTTTTAAAACAAGAACAATATATGAAACATAACATTCACTGGAAATCTTGATAAAATAATATTTGTAGTTAGAAAAGAATAACGATTTTTTTCTAACAATTTTCATACCTTTTACAATCTATTTGAAAATACCGGAAATTTCTAGTTTATTCCATCAGCAATATTTAATATTTTGTATAAAATTTATCATGCCTAGCATATGAAGCTTGTTATATATTTATTGGATATGAAAGAACAAGCACAAAAAAATGTCTCTCTATTCAAAAGATAATATTTATTTAAGAGAGCAAATAATCTTTTTATCCTGCTGTAAATAACTTCGAATAATCGTATTTAACGTTCTCCATATTATCCTAAATATAACGTTTTATTAATCCAAGACAATAAATAAACAAATTTTGATTTTTTACCGTAATCTTCTTAGAAACGTTTGTCGCATGAGCCATGTTACAGCAAAAAAGAAGAATATTGATAAAAGATGACGAATTTTTCTGAAAATAAATTGATTTGAACAATGACAACTAATTGAACATGATACATACTTTGCTTTAATAAATGAATATTTATGTGATTTTTTGATGGATGATTGTTGTAAATCTTCTTTAAGTAAATATTTTTTTATGCCAATACAATAATTTCGAATATAAGATGGCCAATTTAATTCGGTTAAATCGAAGCTAAATTCCTGCAATAAATTAAATAGCATTAATAAGTTTTATGACTGTGATATTCATGATTTACTTGTCTATCAAAGTCATTCATTTGACTCTGTAATAATTGACTACTTCGATTCGCAAAAATCCATTGATTTTGAGCAAAATATTTCAGAGTAAACTTTAAATTTTGGATTTTTCCAGACAGTTTTACCATTCTAAAAGTCAATTCATTGAGAATATATTGAAATTTTTACTTTCAATTCATTGATTACTTTGGCTTTTTGAACATCAAGTAAGCAATAATATCCATTATATATGCAGGTAGAGCTTCATCAATGCAATGGCGAAAATAATAATATGGCCTAAATTAATAATTAATCTCAATAAAATTCTAAGTAAAACATATGTCTATACAAATAAATTCTTGAGTAGAGATCCAAGAAAGAGCTCGAAATTTATTTAGTTATTACTTCGCCTTGTCAATAAACTGCTTTCAAAGACAAGTTTTATACTAATTTTTCAATCGCTTAGATAAAGCAAACGTGCTTGTAAACCATCGTATACGGAGAGATACGATAGTTTACATGAGTCAATATTATGATCATATATCGTTTCGTGTCATATACAGAGAAAAATAACGATCATTTCATTTCTTTGTTTCGTACACAGAGATTTGAAATGATTTTCGTTTAGATCCGCATTACTTCATATACTATTGTATTTCTTCGTACAAAATCATAGATATATACGGTTGTTATAATAAACCATCCAAATTGTAAAAATATGGTCGTATACAAGCTTATCTCTGGCTTTTATATTTTTCACCATGAACATAGACCATAATTACAATATCATTTTCATGATATTAAATTAAGTAAATCAAATATATATATATATATGCATAGGATATTTCAATTTAGAACAACTAACACTAATCATTGATTTAGAAATTATAGGTATTTTATTAAAAAGATAGCAATATAAGATAAGAGGATGGGCAAAATCATCAAATCTTATGGCAAATCATTTCATCTCACTGCAGGGGGCGGGGAGGAGTTCCTCTGCATTCACTGACTCACCACATATTACCCACAAGAGTCGGTGTATGTCACAAAGCAGTTAGTATGCTATTGTATGGTTGACTCAACATATACAACCGTTAGTAACTTGTCCAAGGTCATTCCATGTCTGATGAGACCGAGGCTCGAATTCAGTACTTTAGTAGTACATGACAAATAACTTAACTAATCAGCCATAGCGACTGAATTGATGTGACATCGTGACGAGCATATCCTAACTGTGAGCCTCTCTTTTCTCTTCAGTCGATCTTTTCTGTTGATCATCAATCGATGATCTAATGTGTGAATTTTTTAGAGCACGACATCTAAATATGAGCTGAACAATCAAGAAAAACCTCTCCGACATATTTTGAATAGAGATCATGGAGAAAATTTTCAATATATCTGACTCTATCAAGAGGAAAAGTATGCGCAAAAAAACATACTCGTTCATAGTACATGTAACCGATGGTTTAATGATGCTATAGTTCTCAAATCCAATCGCTGTTGCTTCTGTTGCTATTATTCGAACTGAATATATAATCTATGTTTGGATTGATCATTAATATCATATTAATATACTTACAGATATCTCCATAGGGTAAACATGTTTTAGTGTTTGTCCCCGTACAACAATTATAAATAGATGGTGTTGATAATCTAAAAAGAATAATGAAAAAGAACAATTTCTCAGACATTTATTGAATATACGAATTATTTTTAGTGGCTGTAATCCATGTAATAGCTATGGTCATATTGGCCACAGCATCGACTGGTATTATTGGAAAATCAACTATCTCATTTGAACTTGCTACTCGAATCAAACATTTGCCTATCTACACAATAAACAAAAAAGTTCATACGAAACATAGATAGAAAGAAGATAAACTTACTGCGGCTATGATGCTTGTAGAACCAGCGTAGGAATCGATCCATCCCTAACAATAATATGAAAAGTTACACATTCCGACAACCACATTATGATCACACTAGACTTACTGTTACTGGTTCTTTCCATGCAGCACCAACAATTGATGGTCGAATTATTGCTAAAATACAAAACAAAATAACTGTTTAAAAAATGATGAAATGAATATTTTCACCAATAGGCAAATCATTGCCTTGCTGTAGTAAGAGACATTCTGCTAAGGATTTAGTATATGAATAAGTATTCGGATATTTTTTTGCTAATCTTTCCGATAAATGATTAAAAACTTGATCATCAAAGTAGTCCAGAGATTCCAATAGTATATCTAGATCATCATCCATAGGATAAATAACTTCATTAATATCTGCACGATAACAATGAACATAGGCAGTTGATATATGCACAAATGACTGAAATCAAAAAGTAAATCTATTTCAAAATCAGAATGATAAAGTTGTTGTTTTTTTTTAAATAAGATATTATAAAAGGTGAGCAATATGCTAACCTGTAGATGTTTCATCTTTTTGCATAAATTAATCATGCTCTGAACTGAATAAACATTTGCTTTAATTGATTGTCTAAAATCAAGAAATGAAATATTTATTCTATTCAATCTTTTTGAGATATTTACTTTAATGGTTCATTAAACCGAATTGATGCACCCGAATTGATAACAATGTGACAATTCTCGATTAATGTTTTTTCATCCTCATTAGTCAGATCAAAATTAGCTTTTGTTATATCACCGATAATTGGGATTATTTTTGATTTGAAATTAGGTGTTAACAAACGAACTCGATCGAACAGCTAAGCAAAATACGATTAACTTGTAAATCACTTTTAAACATCACTTACAGCTAATGAACACAATTGTTGAACTCGTTCATGAACGTGAGCACCACGTTTTGATCGTATGAGTATATAAATATTGTCAATACCTAAAAGTAAGTTGTTATTATATAAATCTTCTTCATTGAAAAAAAAAATCTCTGTTATGGAGAAGAATATTCAATCAATAATCTTAGTTAGAAAATATTTTCAAAGTACAAGATATCTAAAATCAATAGATAATATACTGCTAATTAACCTGGACATGATCGTAATAATTTTTCAATGATTTGTTTTCCGATAAAACCAGTTGCACCTGTCATAAACACCGATTTTGCATTAAAGAATTGACTAATTGCACTATTATTATTATTATTGCTGGTCATTGTTTTCTTTTTTATTGGCCGCTTCGATAGTTAGATCTGAAAAATAAACTAAATAGAATTAATAAATATTCAAAAATGATATATAAACTGATGGATGTCAACAAAAATTAAATTTACAATTGAAGTTTCTTGACACATATTCAATTCAATTGATATATTGAACACGAAATACAAACTAAATTTACGTACGTTCAAATATAGTTAATCATCAAAACGATGTACACTATTTTTTCTTCATATTTTTGTATTGATACTACAACGATAAATGATCATTACATTTCAATTGTCTTCATTTTCTTTTTTTTTATACCTGTTTGAGTTTTTATACAGTATTTACTTCCACTATAGTTGTATCATGCTTCACTCTTTACGATCATATAAAATTATCGAATACACACAAATACCGAATGAACGACAGTTGACCGTTGCGACACTTGCTAACGCGATATTTTCTTTCCTACGGCTTTTGGTTAGAACTACGAACAATTAAAAACTAATATGAAAAGTAGTAATATTAGACATAGAGCTCAATCTCATCCTCATTTTCACATAAAGTCTTTCCCACTTCCTCTTAAAAAGAGTCAATTTTCGTCAAAAGAAATGAAAATTAAGATAAATGCATGAGAAGATAAGCTGATGTCTAATCTTTTATAAATGACATATATTTAGTTTTTTTTTTTTTGAAAGAGTATGTCAAGGTACAGTGCAGTATGGAGTTCATTTTTTAAAGTAAGATTTGGTTTTATTATATATGCAAACACTTGTATAAATATACACCCACTTTTGGAGAGTTCTTTGAGTCATTGAACTTGTCATACATTTTCTCTACTTAAAACGTAAGAATCTAAAAAAAAATGGCTCTGCACTGCACTGCATCTTGACATGCTCTTTCAACAAAAAACAAAATGTAACGCATATAATGAACCTGAACAGAGAAATTCAGTTTGCCAAATGAACTATTTTCGACCTTTACTTGCTGAATATTTCTGTCAACCTTTATCGTACAGAGTTGAAAGTTTTACTATAGCTTCTTCATTACAGCCCCAATATTTTCTCCGAATTTCAGACAATTTGAATGTACTTGGCACGAAATCAATTTTTGAGAGGAATATACTTTAATCTTCAGCCTGACACTACCCTTTCGCATCCACTCTCATCTTTAGTCTCTTTAATATCACCAGAGCAAGTGTTGCGGAAGCCTCTGTGTGACTTTAGAATGAAAATCCTCCGCTAGAATATCAATGAATATACTTCAGATCGAAATACTCTTTATAATGAACTTTTAGATGAATTATTTCATCAGCGTATCGTTACTTCAACTTTATTTTCTTGTCTAATGAGAAATTGAAGAATTAATGTTAATCCTATTCTCTTTATATACGTTCGTTAAACATGATTTCATCCTTTCAGTTATATTCATTTCATATAAAATACAACAATCTCTAGGGTAGCACGATCGAATCATAAGGAAAAAGAATGAAAAAATAAACAGATAAGAGGAAGAATACAAATAAACAAATAAAAATGATGAAAGTTAATCTTATTTCTCGGAATATTTTTGTTGTCTCTCAATCAGTATCACTTATAACATGATAAATTTATTTTTATAATTTCTCTCGCACCCTACTGCTCTAATACAACTATGATCAGTCGACTAATTCAAAATAAAAATAAAACAATATAAACATGTACAGACAATCTACTAATGTATATTTAGTAATAAAATTACATTAGACGACTGCACCTAAAACTCATTTTCTTCATATTTTAGATTCTATATAGATAGATAAATGACAATAATCATGTCAGCAAAAAAAAAAATCAGATGCAAGGAGTAATTCTAATCATGTGTAATCGTTTCTGTAGAAAGAGAAGCTTTTTCCACATTAAACAATATATAAAATATTCTTAAATAATATCTCATCTGATATAAATCTTATTTTCGTGTCGAACTATTTAAATATAGTATAAAATAGCTTTAACTACACATTCATGTAATTAATTCATTCTTTTTCAATTTGCTAATCACGAATTTCTTTAGTCAAAAAATATTCGTATTATATTATCGTCTTAAATGAAAGAATTATAGGTGTCGTTGAAAAATCAGTTATGGATTCGTATAATCAATGTATATAAGTAATTCATTTTCTTATTAGATGATTACTCTATGGATTTTTAAGAATTACGTTTGACCTAATCATATATTTTATTTAACATATTTATTCAAAAATATTACTGATCAAAAATATACTATTTAAACTATGATTCATTCACTTTTCTCACGTATTTATGGCAATGTAATTCTATTGCTCTTTCAATTCAACAAATCCTATCAATTATAAAGATATACGAACTACAATTGATGACTAATACAATCTTATTCTTACGTTATAGGACATCGTCGATGACCTTCTTCTTTTGCTTTTATACACTTGTCAAAATTGCGTTTAGTTTGTTGTGTTGTTTTCAGTATTCTACACAGGTAAAGTTTTTATAATCTGACTTGGGTACACAATTCATATTTAAAATCAGTCAATAACATGTTTGATATTTGAAGAAACACAGATACCGGAAAAGCTCAGATGGAGACGTAAACGAAGAAGCTATTCCATCAACATCTGTAAAAGTATGTTCATATTTTGAGAACACTCAAGTATATAGTATTCTTAACCTTGAAACACAAACTAATTGCCTTCATACTTTGCTCCTTATTCATGCATGGATAGTAAGGGTGAAAGCATGAGTAAAGATAAGATCCTCATCGACCTATTCTCATTTCGAACATAATATACACTAGAAAAAAAAACTACGCTCTTTTACTGAAATGGTTTACGACAAAGAACTTTTTTAAGTTTCGTAAGAAATTACAAATTTTTATATGTTCAACAGTCTTGTCGAAAATTCAAAAATATTTTTCCTTGAGTGCATTCGATAAAATATATTATTGTCTATTAGACTATTTCAAAGAATCTTAATAGCTCCGTAATGTGCTTTTTCTATTCGGTACACGAGCACGAATAGAGGAATTCATTACTTGCATTTTCTCAACGTTTTTACTGAAAAGTAAAAAAAGTTTCATTAACATTTGAATAAGTATCTAAACCACCAATACAATAATCCATCGATGAATTTGAATTAATTGATAGCTTTACTTACGTACTGAAGATGGTAATAATCGAAAAAAAAAGTCACACAATTATAAAGAGAATCGACGTGATATTATTCATCTTTCTATATTCTATGGTAGAGTCGTGCTATACAGCGATTGTACATTATTATTATGTGAAGTCAACTGTGACGGCTAATGAAGTATAACCTCTTTTTTACTATTGGTAGTCTGCAAGACATAAATAACAATGTGCGTTGAGCAAGAACGCAAGAGTATGTGTGAAAAAAAAAATATACAGTTATATATATATCGCTTTTTTTTCTCTTATAGAACATGCTACATGACTAGTCCTTTTTAGTTATGAGAGAGAATATGTAATATCTAATTTTTTGTCACAAAAAGTTCTCTAATGTCAATGGAGTGTGATGTTGTTGCAGTCATGCACAATCATTCTAAAGATGTGCTTAATGACTGTTATGAAACATGATAAAAACTAGTTTGAGATCAACAGTAGTTACCAATGCAAAAATTAAAAAGATTTAAAGCAAGATGAAATTGCAATTAACGACAACGATTTGTTACAGTATTATACATTGCTTGATTCGAAATAAATCCAAATTGAAAAAATATGAAGAAAAAAGTTAGATTTAAATGTATACTATGTGATTTACTCAACACTACGTCAAATGAATCAGTACAATCAAATTAACAACTACATATCAATAAACATTTCAAGATGCTATTGTATTGAATTGCCCTAAAAATTTCTTTAGATACTGACATGAATAACAAAATTTCTATTAAGGTTTATAAATTAGTTTGACAGAATTGAATAAAAAAAAATTTTTTTTTTTTTTTTCGAGAAAAATTTCTTCTGATCATTCTTATCTACAAATAATTTATGAATATTTAAAAATAAATTAAATTTAAAAAGAAACGATATTTTTTTACATTATGATTTTATTTTATTTATAATGTTAACTTCAAGAATTTATATTGAAAATTAAATTAATATATAAAAAATATTAAAATCATTTTTTTTATTTACTTTATACATCTAATGAGTTGTAAAATTTATAAATTGATGCTTATCGCTCAGGAATAAACAGTGTCTTTCGAGATACTTTTGTACTTTTATCATAGAAAAGAATAAAATCTTTATTATGTGAAGAACTTTACAGTAATCTTGTGAGTTACAGCTAAGACAGAGTTGGAATCACTCTCTCATTTAAATTATCACTTTCTCTTTCCTGCATTCATCTCTCTTTCGTACAAACTTGTATTGAATGTGACATAGACACATTCTAGAGACACGAAGTAGCTCAATAGACATTATCATCGACAATGGCAGTAAGCTACTCCTCCACTTTGTTGTTACAACAATCAATCATGAAAGAAAAAAACGTGCATTTCTATTATATGGCACAATGAACTTTCGTGATTGTGCTCATAACCGATGACCTAAACGCTCTTCTTCTCCTACCATTATTCAACTGTGTAATAAATATGGCTGAGAAAGTGCTTGTAAAATAGGGTTGTTTACTTTATTTGGCTTCTTCACATAATAAGTTGTAGCAAACATACATCGATCACATATATATAGAGAGAGAGCAATCATACGTGAAGAGAATGAACATCAGTTTGATGAAGAAAAGAAAAAGAGATAAAGATGAAAAGAACACCATTCATTATAAATTGTACATGTTCTTTTTTTGCTTAGGTAAAAAGTAAAGGTCAAATTTTAGTTTTTAATTTTACTTGTGTTATAACAAAAATAAAAACTGTCCTATGAGACGAAGTTTGAATATTAGAATTGTAGAGAGATTAGTCTTGTAAAGCACAAAAAAAAATCTAAAAAGTGCATTTTTTAACGGATGTCTACATAATACTA